GGCTTTTTAACATGAAATTTGTGAAATAGGATCTTATTTTGATGAAACTGATTTTTTCTGTTTTGTATGATTGAATGATTAATCACAATGTCCTTTTTCTTCCACTGGGTTGTTTCTAGATATGTGGATCATTGTTAAAGGAATATCCCACTTATATTATACATGAAAATAATCTTTTAAGATGTAACCATACTCAATAATCGTGATGCCAGGAACTTGTCAATGGTGATATATTGCATCATTTTTGAGATTCTTTCCTAAAATATTGTTATTGTCATAAGATTTATTTGACATGATACTGGAGAAATATGCATAAATAAGTGTACATCAGGATGGATAAGAGAATGATAATATAGTGTAAAATAAGCGTTCTTGTTGTAGTTTCAAGTGGTGTGAAAGAAATATCTTTGACTAATAAATTTTGATAATTCTCTTTAGTTAGCAAGCAGCACAAAATTAGTTTTTTACATTTTCATTATCAATCAACCCCATCGAATTTCTTGTTTTAGCTGTAAATTGAAAGTTTCTTTACATATTCGTTTGATGATTCTTTAGTTTTTCTTTTTCTTTTTTTCTTTTTTTTTTAATGTAAATTGATTGTTGTGGTTGTTAAATTTTCCTTTCAAGATTGTGAGTTGTGACGGCCAGACTCCCAGTCCCAATTCCCAATTCCCAACGTAGGTTTCGAGCTTCCCGCTTTCAGCATTTCAATTCCGCAATTTGAAGCCTTATCAACATATATAATTGCAGCCTTGTCAACTTATATAATTGTTTTAATATTAGTTTTTTAAAATAGCAATGAGTCGCATTATACATCGTTGAATTTTGCATTTACATTGATTTCTCCAAGGGGCCTAATTTACGGATTTCGCCTCAAACCCCGACAATCACATGACTGACACTGCAAAGGGTGGGGTAATTTTTTTTTTTTAAATAACCACTCACCCCCAACCAGCATGTGAGGGAATTTTCTCTCAAGTCAAGCTACATATTTAATTTTTCATTGCTTAATCAGATTTAAGTTACAAATCCCTCAAAATTAAGAATTAATCGATTCTATTCGTGTGCTTTGTTATTATTTTTTGATTCATGCACTTGCCATATCACACAATCCTCTGGAAAGAGGTGGCAAAGTGATTATTTTTGTCTGGTGGCTGATGCAAATATTTAGTACGGAGCCGCTTGATTTGTCAAATGTTATTGTATTAATACTAATATTAAACTCTATTATTAATACTAATTTAATTAATCTAATGCTAGATTGACAATGAACAAGCACGTGCATAAAAAAAGCTGTGCATTGTTCATTGAATCTTGTTTTCATAAAAAGAAAAAAAATAAATAAAATTGTAGGATCGATAAAAAAAAAAAAAATGAAAATTGGGTTTCTTCGCCGACATAATTTTTTTTTTTTTTTTAAGTAATCAACTAATTTATAAATTTTAATTAATGTATGAAAATGGTCCGAGATAATGTACTTATTGTATAAAGCTCGTCGCCGCATGCCCTTCACAAATTTTCCTCTCTCTCCTTCATCGCGCTACTTACGTTCAAGTCTATAGCTCCCATCTATTCAAGCTCGTTAGTATATACCACTTCTCTTTTCATCTTCTTTCGCATTGATTAGGTCTACAGCTCCAACCATTCGGATTGTTTTGGTCTATTCAAGCTTGTTGATGAAAAAAATCAACCACGTGAATCAGATTTCGAGATTAGATTTGAAATCCATAATATAGATAAATTTCAGAATCTAATTCCTTTTTTGGGTCTTGAGATTTTGAGTTCGTGAATCTATGTGTATGTTCTATAATTGATGTCAATTATTTTATGTTAAATTGGAATAGACAATTTTAACGTCACCAAATTGGTTGAAAAAGGTCAAGATTAATTTTTTTGGATCAACTAACAGTCAAATTAATGGTTTTCATCTATTTGGACTCCAAGTGCTAATTTTTGAAAGGTTTGGTACTATGGGTGCTAAGTCAAAATTTGGATCAAGTCTGCATAAAAATGAAGAATTTGATATAGCAGCTACAATTTTGCCTTTAAAAACTATGGATATGTGCATTTGGTAAATGATAAGTGTATTCATTATACTTATCTGAGTCGTTAAACTAGAGAAACTAGCGTATTTTAAATGAATTGAGGATTAATTTTGTATATATTTTGTTTGTTAGGTGCATCTTGATGAAAACGATAAAAGTTGACAAAGGAGGGAAAAATTGGCAAAAGGGGACAAAATCCAAAGTTTGGGGATTAAATTGCAAAGCGTTAATAGCTTATTCGGATCTAATATCGATGATTGAAGAAGGTATGGACTCAATTAGATGGAATTGGAAGGTAAAGGACCAAAAAGACATCAAAAATAGCTAAAATGAATGAAGATCGAAGTATAGAGATCAAAGTGCAACAAATGAAAATTTGTATAACTACGTATGCATGGGCTTAAAGTGGCACACGTAGGGGACTGTGTCATGCTCTTATCGAGAGCAAATCCAACATACGGCTCGCATGCGAGGAAATGTATGGTGCGCGAACGAGACAAATTTTGGACTGAAGGGTCTAGACTCCATTTTCAACATAAATTCTTAAGAAACCAAATTTAACCTACCATTTAAGCGAAATAAGACGGCTAAAATGGGGAACAACATTAATATACATATTTTTCACCACAAAAAAGAGGCTAGCAGGAGATTCTAAGGCGACTAACACGAGAGATTGAAGATTCAAAGTTTGGGTTAAAGATTAACGAAAAAGAAATTGATTTTTCACTTTCCAATCATTGTTCTCAATTTCAGGTGATGTTTTTTCAATTCTTTTTGTGTGATTTATTAAACAATTTTCTAGGCTAATTATTTTCATGTATTGGATAAAGATGAAACATTTTATTATTTATTTTTAATTTGAGACACATAATTTAGTTGAATTATTGTAATTTTTTATTAATCTCGCATGCCTAATTTTATTATTTAATTGCTTGTTGTAGTGTTGGGAGACTCACAATAGGTTTAGAACACTACTTAATTAACATACGTGCAATAAATGTTAGGAATAAAGTTTATCATGTGTGCAATCTTTGAGATAATTGTGAAATTGAATGCGTTCTATTCATTCGAATTCAGACTACGAATAGATTCGGATCGTGACTAAAATAAATTTAGTGTTTGTTTGGTAGGAATTTTGATAATTGATTTTTTGATCGTTAGAGATAAAGTATGTCCTATCTGTGAGAGAATAATTCAAAAATGACAACTATAATAGTGAAATAACAGTTAAGAAATTAATTTTAATTGATTTTTAAACTGTACCAAACAAGCTCTTAATTTATCTTAAAAAAGAAAATTAATTACAATAAAATTGTTGATTGTCAAGAATGCAAGAATGGAACTAACTACATAATTGAGAATTAAAATATATGATGATAGGTGGATTAAACTCATTCCATAACATACTAAATTTGAATTTTACAAGTTTTCATAGATTAAGTTAAAATAATTAAAAATCACAAATCAGTTTTGTTTGCTCACTTTGAATCTAATTAAAGACTAGTACCTCAATTGAATTTTATTCCTCGTGTGATGACACACGTTACGCATCACGTATTATTTGTCAACGATTTCATATACTTACGGGTTTTGCACGAAGAGCAAACATAATGCTAAGGGTAAAATTTAAGCACTTAAATATTCAAAAATCAATGTTGACATTTTATGATGAAACTCTTATCGAAGTCAAAATGATGAAACTCTTATCAAAGTCTAAAATGTCCAGCTAAGCATTTTTATCAATTTAAAGCTTAGTCGACAACCAAATTTTTAAGATTACTAGTGTCAAAGTTGAATGTGCATTGCACATTGTTCTAAAATACTTTATAAGTGTAAAAGTAATATTTGGTACCAATTTGTTGAAAGATTTGATGAGTTTCGGATGAATTAAAGAAAATAAATTTTAACATAGAAATTCAAAAGAAGAAAATTGTACTCTCAAAACTCAATTTCTATTATTCAAATCTTTTGTAATGATGAAATACTATAAATGGACAATCTTTTTATGTTACATTTGATACATAAAAATTAATTGTTAATATATAAATTTAAACACACATTAAAATTTTTAGATACATGAATATGAATAAATTCATTTATAATAACTCTAGATTCATATAATTCAAAATCCATTAAGTGAAAATTCATTGAATCTAGATTAATGTGAATATTAATTAATATTAGGAATTTCATAAAAGGACAATAATTATGTAGTATTTATTATATATCGAAAAACAAAATGGTACCCATAAATTTAAACACCTATTAAAATTTCTAGATACATGAATATGAATATATTCATCTGTAATAACTCTAGATTCATTTAATTCAAGATTCATCAAGTGAAAATTCATTGAATCTATATTAATGTTATTGTTAATTAATTGAGAATTATTAACACAAATTTCATAAAAGGACAATAATTATGTAGTATTTATTACATATCGAAAAACGAAAAGTAAGGTATTATTGAAATAATTGAATTGTATGGAAGTTAAAATCGTCCAAAAAATTATTCTCACATCAAAATTCATTAAGTAAAAATTCATTGAATCTTGATTAATGTGAATGTTAATTAACTGAGAATTAATAACACAAATTTCATTAAAGGAAAATAATTACGTAGTATTTATTATATATGAGAAAATGAAAAGTAAGATATTATTGAAATAATTGAATTGTATGGGGGTTAAAATCGTCCAAAAAATAATTCTATGTGATACTTTAATATAATAATAGACTAATAGTCAACATGTTATTGTAGCATATATTAGAGTCATGTCATTTTAGTGTAAAACCTAAACAATATGGTTGATATTTAAGTTAGAACTCGAAAATTCATCATTAAATATTAATATTTCGTGTATCTGAAACAATCCCCGCCTCTTTAGATAATGGATTCAGAGCCCTTAATACAATAAATAATTTCATTCATATATAAGATCCTAACCATAGTTATTCCACAACCAAAATCTATATAACATCTAGCTTTGAATTAAGCCATCAAAACAAAGCAAGGAAAGGATACAAGAAGGGAAAATATTAAAAATTTTAATAGGCAAATCATAACAAATTTTCCCCAGTTTCCATAATATACCACAGGCTCTGATACCCTCAATCTTGAATTTAAGAATTTCTTGGAACCTGCAAATAATTTTAAAGAAAATTAATCACTTTTATGAAATCTACAAAATTTCCAGCTTAATTATTTCTAAGTAAATTAAACCATTGAGATGCATGATTTGAGTAGTGAAGATCTTATATATTGCAGTGAAATAAAATTAGAAGCGATTAATTGTGCATATATACGTAAGCAATCATATGCTGAGTCTCACTATATTTGATTCTTAATTAATAAAATAAATTGATTTTATGATTTTTCATCTTTAAAAAGCTGCTTATATGAAAACCAAAAAAAATTCTTTCAATATAATTGAAACTCCTTTCAAATTATATATTCTTATCCTAAGTTTGTAATTTCAATTGATTTTTTTCTTTAAAATTGGTCCCAAGAGTTGGATATACTCAATACTAATAGTAAATAATAGAATAAATGTTACAATTTTTCCATTGTAGCGGTTCGATTTCTTTCAGTATTAAATTCTGAACATCGATCCATCGACTTCTTAGTGACGGTGCAGATAAGTTTGACTACGTTTTATGGGATACAATTTCCAAGGCAGTTTCCATAATTTGGTATTGACTGCTTACCAAGAAATAGCTTTCACCATGCTGCAAACTCTGCACCAGAAAACCATACTCATTTACTTGAACTGGCACTCCTGACGAATGAAATAAGACAAATTCTTCACCAAACATGGATTTCATGTCCACCGCCCCCTGAGGTATCTCTGTTGGAACTCCATTGATAAACACTGTAATCAATCCTGCACAAATTTCAGATGAAGTGGTTCATCGATGTTGACAATTACGGGATCCGAGTGTCGGGATTACTAATTTATGAAAATTATGGACTGTAACACGAAACACAATACACAAATCCAAGTAAGAGAACCTGTTGTTGATAAAATCTAGCCTCTAAAAAAGTTATAACAAAACACAAAAAATGGGGGGGGAGAAGAAAAATAGTCTAAATATGGTAGTATGTAATATGTATGGTAGTTTATCAAGAAGTTTAGGGTTTGGAGTAAAATGAAGAAAACTAAAAATATAATGAAACCTATATGAAATCTAATGAAAAGGGAAATAATTAATTTATGCTTACTGTAAAAATGTCAAGAAATAATTAGTTTATGCTTACCAGACTGGTATTGCAAGTTTGAAGTTTCAGCAGGGCAAAAAATTGAAGGATTTTGCTCAATTTCCGGGATGCCCGGATGGCCGCCGGAAAATGAAAAGAGATCCTCTGAATTCTCATTGCCGACGAGGCTACAAGATGCAGAATATATAGGGAAACACAGTGAATTGGGTGGAAAACCAGCAGAACTAGAACCAGTATTTTCATACTGAATTGCACCACCAGCACTTGAAGTCTGAGTTTGTTGTTGTTCTCCAGTAAGGCTGGCTTGAATTTGTCGTTGCCTCCTACGAGACCTCGACCTTCGGTTTTGAAACCAGTAGAAGACATTGGCATCACCAACTGTGCCATATTTCTCGAGCAGTTTTCTGATTCTCACAGTTTCATTCTTTGGAGGATTAACCATCCCACTGTTGAAGATGGATTCAAGTATAAGGATTTGCTCGGGTTTTGGCGTCCACCGTGATCTCACCGGTTCATTTCTCTCAGTTTCAGAGCCATGGTTTGGCTGACGGTTGGTGTCTTGGACTCGATCTTCCATGATTCAGTGAAAGAGAAGGAAAAATAAGGACGAAAATTTTAAGGCACAATCCACATCAAGGGAGCAAAGTATTTAAAGGCGAAAAGGGAATGTCACTGTTTGAAATTGCACTCTTACCTTTGTTGTTCAACCTCTTCATCTACAAGTTTAAACGGGATGTTAATTTTTAATTTTTATTTAATTATTTAATTTAATTTTTAAAAATTATCTCCATTACGTCCCTCATTGATAGGTCGGATAGAAATTTATTTTTGAATAAAAAACCCGACACGAATCGGTTATTGATTTATTACTGTGTTAACAGCTTGTTCGGGGGCAATTGTTTTGTCCAAAAAATTGATTTTTTGACCGTTATTTCACTATTTCAGTCGTCATATTT